ACATTAGCACCATGGTTCCTGTAAGAAAGTGCATATAATAGAACTCTCTGATAGCGCTATTTTGATAGTGATTTAATCTTCTGAGTCATTAATCAAGACAAAATGACAGAACGTGTACAACTCCCAGCTGCTCATATGTAAAGATTTGCTGCTTTTGCTGTCTTTCCTGGCGAGCTGGTGTTGTCCTCAACTTAACTCCCTCGGCAGTGAAATGTTTGTTTCTGTGTTGTTAATGTGTCCATATTGTGATTTTTGTGTTAAAAGACACATCATAAGCAATAAGCCATAGCTGAGCGTTCCTGCCTTAACCTCTGAAGACCCGAGCTCTTCTTTGATATACATTTTTTATTTCATTTTTTATATACAAAATATAAAGAAAATAAAATATAGTTTAAAAAAAAGAATATATATCCATCCATCCATTTTCTATACACCGCTTGATCCTCATTAGGGTTGCGGGGGGGCTGGAGCCTATCCCAGCCGACTTAGGGCGAAGGCAGGAGACACCCTGGACAGGTCGCCAGTCCATCGCAGGGCTACACTTAGAGACAGACAACCAAGCACACTCACATTCACACCTACGGACAATTTAGAATCACCAATCAACCTCAACATGTTTTTGGACTGTGTGGGAGGAAGCCGGAGAACCCGGAGAGAACCCACGCTGCACGGGGAGAACATGCAAACTCCACGCAGAAAGATCCCGGTGCCCCCACCGGGACGTGAACCGGCAAACTTCTTGCTGCGAGGCAACAGTGCTACCAACTGCGCCACCTTGCAGCCCAAGAATATATATATATATATATATATAATTTTAAAATAAATAAATACAAATAATAAAATAATAATAATAAAATTTATATATTTTTTAATTAAAAAATTGAATGCTGTGATAGTATAACCAAAAATGTCATGTCCACGCATGTCACCAATCTAAGATGTTTAAACTGGAGTGTACCAGTAAAAACATGGAAATCAGACTTCTAAGGTTTTATACGTAACAGATCTAAGGAACCAATCCTGTCAGCTTACAGCGTGGGACTTTTCCACTTAAAACATGTGTACATGGCAGAATTAGTCCAACACTACAATTTGCTGTTGTGGCATAGAGTAGTTTGACAGTGCTTGATCGGGTGAGCTGGTGTGCTTGAGCTGCAGTGAGCAGCGGAAGGCTCAGTGTGACAGAATGTGTGGCCTTAATAGATCTTCACATTCTGCATTACAGCAGAAAAAACTGTGCAGGGAAGATTTACATCAAAGCCATGTGAAGGCGTGAGGAGTTTTAATGGTAAAATAACAACAACATGTAGACATCTGTAATTCTCATTCACAGAGATGAGTTTTGGTTAATCAGCCAATGAAATCAGCCATTGTTATTCATTTTTTGTCACTTATGAAGTGAAACAAGGTGTAAACACAACCGCGTCAGTTTACCCCTTCAAGGTTAGCATGGCTAACACTCCCGCAGAAACTAGGATTCATTTCGGCTTGAGATTCTGCTATTTCTTGTTAAACGATAAGATAAAAGGTTGACTTTTACCTCTGGTTTGTTTTCCACCACTTCAGCTCCCAAATGCTCCACTGTTTTGACGGCTAGCTGTTAACCATCTGCCTTTTGGAGCTGTGCAGGTAGTGCACGATGAATCTATAAAAACTACTCTGCTGAGAACTGTTGCTACGGCGGGTAAACACAGCTAATGTGTAGTGGAGACTGAAGCTGTGAGACATAAACCAAACCGATCAGTTAAGAGTTGTTGGGTTCATCAGTGCCACTGACTCTATACAAGGGGTCATCTGATCCACTGATATAAATGTATTGATTAGTACAGCATCTCTGTGGTTTGGGATGGGCTTATTAAACTAATTTGTGACATTTTACAGTAGATTAGTAGAAATAATCAGTATTTGCAGACCTAAAAAGAGCAGAATATTGTATAGAACATTATAATAAAAAACAGAACTCAATCAGCTCGTGCGTTGGCTTTTCCCAAAGGAAGAGGTTGGGCTGTTCCCTTCTCAATCAGTGGTGACTGAGGGTGTGTCTTGAGTAGCAGTACTATATCATATCTAAGAGCTATCGATTGGCATAAATACACTGACTCTCTCTGGTGACCAGATGAATAATTAATAAGACACTGGATCTGAGGCCACTCTTTATCTTTAGGAGAAACACATACACACATCTCAAACACACCCTATGTACAGCACTGACAACTGAAGATGATGCAAATTTGGAGTTAGCTCGCAGTTCCACAACATAGTTTTTGAGTCTAAACTTTTGCTCTCAAGTGTGTCTGCTTTGTGTGCGAGTGTGTGTTTATGCAAGCACTGTCTCGCTGCTTCAGCCCGCTTGTCCCTTTTTCATATCTGTGGTAAATCATTAATCATAAGGGAACCAAGTCAAGTAACACATTTCCCATGGGGCAGACACTGGGAGTAGCTTGAAAAAAAAAAAAGACAGAGGCAAGAGAAGTGAGTGAACGAGAGAGAGAGGGAGAGAGAGAGAAGAGAGGGAGTTTAAGAGAGAAAGAAAAACTGGAGTGAGAAAGAGGTGGAAAAGCAGAGTAGAAACCAGCAGATCAGGAGAAGGAAGCTCTACTCCTATTAGCCGAGCCCCCCGTTCCTGCTGAAAGTTTTTGATCAGGCAGTTGTACGTACGCCAGGCCTGGCACCGAGTGCCCTGTCTGTCCTCTAGCGTTGAGGTCCTTTGTGCCACTGTGGCTGGCCAGCGCCCGAAGCCAGGACTCTCCGGATGCAACATCCCCGGAGAAAAGCTGCTTTTCCACTCTGCTCCTACAGCCCAGCCAACAGGAACACACACACAGTCACCACAGCAGAGCACATAGGCACCCATTACCTTGGAACCTGACAGGAAGGAGGAAGGAGAGCAGAAACCCTTTGAGAATTATCACTCCCTTTCATTTCCTTTCTTTACTTTTCTTTCTCTCTTTCGCACCTACACACACGTACTTTTTTTTTTTTTTTGTTCTCTCAGGTCTTTGGGGGATTGTGCTAGTGGACTTTGCTCCCCTATGATGAATGATTTGCCTAAAAATACTGTCTGTATGCGAGCGAGCGCAGCATCCAGGTGGAAGAACTTACCTCCACAGTGAGAAATCACACTACTTTTAGGCCACTTTTCCATTCCGCTATCCATAGGTTAACCACAGCTTGAATATACGTGTGTGTGTGTGTGTGTGTGGGTGTGTGTGTGTGTGTGGGTGCTGGTGTGGTAATATACAGCCTTTCTGGGACAAGTGACGTGTAGCTTGATTAAATCCGTGACCTTCACCGGCAGCACAAGCAATCAGCAGGCGAACACACGAGTTCGCACACACGCTGCATACTTAACACCTTCTCGCACACAAGCACTTGGGCACACGAACATGCAATCAGCACCTGGTGGAATCTGTCGCATCATTGATCCAACCTATTCGTACACACACGTACATACGCACACGAGCGCACGGCACGGGGCGTCTATCGAATTGCGTTTGAGACGCCCCTCATTTTCCTCACGTAGGATTCTGTACACCGCAATACTATTTACCACTGTGGCAGAAAAGGCTCGCGAGAATGGGAATGCCAGGCCTATGAATGTATAAATAAATACATGCATAATCTATATTCAGATTACCAAAGGGAAAGTCAGGAATTCCATTTTACTGCCGAGGATGCAAAAGGGAAATCATTCAAGTCCCCAGTCTATTTCAGCCGGCTGCTCCTGTTGAGTGGTAACACGGTTTTCCCTCCCCAGTTTTATGACTCCACATAATGACTAATACGCAGCCACTGAAACAGCCGTAGCAATAGTCATATTATGTTATTGTGACTATTGCTGTGACTGCAGTTGTATATTTTAGTTCCCCTGGTTGCCTGAAGATCTAATGCTTATATAACAGGAATGACAGTTGATCTGCTGTTGCGCTGTGTGACTGTACTGTACGACCCCGTGGTTATACCGGCCCTCAGCCTGATGTAACAGGATCTCACGTAGACCAGACGTCACAATACATCAAATCAAACTTTGTTTTCTTGTTCTTTGCCGTGGGTACTGCACGGCACATCGTACGACCCATCAGCGTCTGTAGTACCTTTTTTTGTTAACCAATATTCTGATGTCTCTTTGTCTTGTTAGTTGTTTTTTTTTTTTTGGTACATTTTCTACCTTTTGACGACTCTCTTCTACATTATACTCTCATGAGTCTACTTTACTTTTGTACAGGCTTGAATAATAATTCTGGTTTATGACTGTGCAACCTTGGCTCTGCACTCTGGGCCATCGTTTTTGTAGTTACTGCAGCTCCTTTTGAGGATGTAGTAACTGTGAAAGCTGAATGCACCTGAAATGCCTCTAATATTCCCTCATGGCACAGACATAGGATGCACAACTACACTACATTTGAAACTGTGATGAATGTTTATAATGGAAAGTGTGTAATTCTTTTGATTAAGTTCAGCAAATCTGGGGGTTTGTTTAACATTTCTGTGCTCATCTGATTTGCTCATTTTCATATTGTGTCTTGCCATGTACCCAGAACTCAGCAGCTCCTTTGGTGAATACAGTGTTATAGTACCTAACAGGAAAGACGGCTGCATCTACAGAACTAAAAATCCAAGTTATAATAAACTGGAATTATCCGTTAAAAGTGTTTGTGGCAGACGAGGGATTTCTGGCACAATTACTGCCGAGATGCACAAGCATAAGCAGTATAAAAGCCAACTTTATTCTGAGACCAATGGCTTGCAGTGTTCATCACGATCACGACATTTATTACACAGCGAACAACATTTCAGTGGGCCGTTAAATAAAGTGGTTCTTTACATTACGAGTGTTGCTGGATTTTTTGGATGTTTCAGAGGATGTAGAGCCGCAACGCAGCAAAGTGTTTTTTTTTTTTACAACAACCGTCTTTATGGTTAATAAACACTGAATGTGACCCCTGCGCTTTTGCGTTGGCACATCCACTTATTCTGTGTTTATCTTCTTCGCTTTCCAGCGTGCAGGCCTGGAACCTACAAAGCTTCGGCCACGGATGCCTACTGCACCAAATGTCCTCCTCACAGCTCGTCGCCGCAGGAGCAAGCCGTCGAGTGCATTTGCGAGAAAGGTTTCCACCGTGCTGAGAGCGACCCACGCTCGATGGCCTGCACACGTGAGTGACGCAAAAAAAAACCACATACAACTCCTATTAGCTGTCACAGCCATAATATTCACTGCATTCATTTCAGTGACATGTTTGCACTTGGATGTTTGCATTCTATGTTATGAAATGATTGGATTGCATTTCATTTAATGAGCTTGTAATGTACTTCTGTAAGAATATACATAGCATGGCGGTTTTTCCATTTCATCCCGTATGTATGCCTCCATGCAGTTTCTTGTTCCTGAGCTTCTGTTGGTTTATACAGCACAAGAGATGCATACATTAAACACACACCTCCATGTGTATTAGTTGTGTGGTTACACACCATGGATATCTCGGATGGGAAACACAGATATGGGTGATACTCTGGTAGAAAGTAGACGATGTTTCTGCCCCGCGCACACACGCAGGGATCGGACCACATCCTCATGAAAAGAGACAGAGGTAAAGAGAAAGAATGAGGAGGGAAGATTGAGCGTATGAGAGGGACAGAATGAGATGGATTGAGATAGATGGAGGGACGTGGGGTGGGTGGGTAAGGACAGTGACATGGTGGAAGAGAGAGACCGAAGTAGAGAAAGTATGGCGCAACACGCACACGCACAAGCATGCACACACATACCCAAACCCATTATCAGGTTATGGTAGATTACACTCATTAATCGTTGTAGCAGGTGAGATGTGACAGGTGTTATCAGCTGGAAATGAGTAACGGTTTGTTCAAATATGTATGGGCACACACACACACACACACACATGCACACACACACAATTGCTCTCCTGGATGTTGAAGAGCGCCACAGAGGATCGAGGAGGGGGAGAAATGAGAAAATAAGGAGAAAAGGTGAAAGAATTAGTCACGGAGACATGGAGAATGACACTTAAGACACAGGAAAAGAATAGAACAGTGGGGAAAATAGTGGACTATCGGAGACATATAATCTAAGTGTCATAAAAGGCCGATCAGCAGCAACGGTGATGATGGACGGTTAAGTGCGGCCCAGGGAAGTGGTGGGATGGAGAAAAGAAAAAGACTGAATTAGCGGGATCAGTCAGCACACCCTTTCAGCAGATTTATGACCGACAGCCTCAATTACACCCAGCATGGCCTGCGTCCTCCACGCCCAGCTGTCCCCCCCCATCTCGCCTGCACTTTAGAGAGGCTCGCCACTGGGAAGGCTAATCAGGAAAGTCCCAGGCTCTGCTGGTGGCCCCCTGGGGCTCACTGCTCAGTCAGGACCTGATGAGATGTCAGTCTGAATGGGCACCTACTGCCAAATTTCCATATGGTTGAGATACCTGCACCATGCTGTGCTGTGAGCAACTATAATCAGTCATTCCCATGTGAGTGGCTCCCTGGAGGCAGGAATGTCATGGTACGGGGTTACCTTGATGATGTGCTGGACCTTTGTGGTTTACCCAAAAGATTTTAAACTTCTTCCAATCAAAATGAACATAAGAAGCCCCGTACGTAGATGCATTTAAACATCGAGGTCAGCTGAAACTTTAGTGAGAATGAGAGCTGCAACTGACGATTATTTTCATTCTTGATTTATCTGCTGATTAGTTTTCTTGATTTATTGATGGTTTTTTTTGGTGCATAAAATGTTTGAAAGTGTTGAAAAGTGTCCATCGCTGTTTCCCAAAGCCTTAGATGACATGATGAGTCGTACATGCGGGGATATGGGCTCACAATTTGAGTCTAGTCAACACGAAAAGTGACAGAAGCGGTTCCAGGAAAAATTACTAAGAAGAGCTTAAGTAAACAAATCCAGCTTAATGCCTCACCTCCACACATGTAGTCAATCCAGTGGGCGTGTTTTTCAGATTGCTGATCTCCTAAAGGTAGAAAATTTGTCATAAGACACTGCCCTCACCTCCTCTAACCCCCAGCCCCTTTTTTAAAAAGGTGTAGGGGAAGGAAGTGTCCGTTGCTGTTAAGTAATGTCCAACATTTCCAAATGATCCAGTCTTGCAGTACAATATCCATTTACAGGAAGCACAGTGTTAGTAATCTATTTAATGGTTATGTTTAGGCAGCCACAGCACTTAGAATTAGGAAAAACTTGTGGTTTAATATAGAAAAGGTGTTTGACTTGAGACAGAACATGTCATGCGACAGAACAAAATGTTGATCAGGGTTTCCCAAAACCCAAGATGACATCCTAAAATGTCTTGTTTTATCCAGAACCCAAAAATATTCAGTTTTCAGAGAAACCAGGAAAAGTCCCATTTAAGACACTAATGAGAGACTTTTTTCTTAAAAAAAACACAAAAAAAAAACCTCAAAATCAATCAAAAACTCAAATCAAATAATCAATTAACACTGTAGTTGACGATTCCTGTAAAAGGTAACAAATAATGGATTAATTGACAAACGGTGGCAGCTCCAGTGAGAATGACTTGTTATATTTGCTGTGTGAAATCCAAAGCCGCCTCATTGCAACGGGGCGATTACATTAATGCAGCGGGGTAGTTGAAGCAGAGGGCTCTAGAGGGCTCTGGCACTGTGTTGGCCGATCAATTAAGTGCATGGGCAGATTCCTGGTACATTACTTGCTGCGTTTCTACTGGTTATACTGTTTGCCGGGACACAAAAAAACCAAAAACAAAATGCCACCTTGATAAATTTCCACCGTCTTGATAATATTATAATTTTAAATCACTGCACGTTGTCGTCTTAAAAGCCTCCAGACTCATAAATCACCTACTCAAACTGGATTTCTTAGATCATATTTCACCATTTTTGCAGAAGTGACACACCCTTACCATCACAGCCACTTGATGTTTTCAGACTGAAGTTGAACGCCCACTGAAAGCATTCCACCGGTTTGATGGTGGAAAATGTTAACATGAAGCAAAATAAAAAAAGGCTGTAAGAACAGTAGATGTAAATAGCAACAGAACACCCAAAGGATCAGATAAAATAGCGTAGCAGAATGAAACAGGCTCTACATGTATGTCATAGTACACAAACATGTTTGTGCCCTTAAACAGAATTTCATTGAATTTAAACCTAAAATATATCATTCTAAATTTGGTGTAGCGACACAACAATATAGATTTTTTTCCGTTCCATTGTGCTTAGACTTGGTTCTGCTTCTATCATGTTGAGTTCATGTAAAATGTCAGCTGTGATGTAACATATAACAACATATGTGCTTTCATGTCTACAACAGTGAGCATGTGGCTTGGAAAGAAATGTCTAAATAAATATGGTACAGCAAAATCTGACCTTTCAAGTTAACTCAGAACCAAAATGCCCCTCTCCGTTGGTTAGAAAAAACAAATCTGCATGTTGCTTCAAGTGCAACAGAACCATTTAAAGTATTATTCACACATCACATTAACTCAAGACATTTTAATTTATGCATCAACACGAGCACACTTCATCTGAAGGCGTTATAAAGAGCGCTTTCGTGTCGCTGTTTCTCAACTTCCTTGAGAATGATTAGTGACACACTTTTTGGACTCTGACTCTGTAAAACACTAATCATTCCAGCTGAAACTCAAAGTAATATTAACTGGCCTAAATCATAAAATGTACCTGACTCATGAGAAAATGACTCTGGGCACTTTCTATACATCATTGTCCACTTGCTATTTATTATCTGCAGTGCAGCTCCACAGTGTCAGTTAACTTCACAGTAAAGAAAAATAAGTAAGTAAAGTAAGTAAGTAAGTAAGTAAAAATCCTCCCTGCAGTCAAGCATCAACTATTCAACATCATGTGAATTCTCTTTAAAGATGGATTTAAATGTGCAAGTGTAATATATTATATTATTCTCATACCGTCACATTTACAATCGGCCAGACTCCTTTAATCTCTGTCCGTTCCAAAGCTATTCATTAATCGAGCGCCAAGTGTCCATCCCCTGAACGGAGTCAGTTAATACATTTTTAATTTAATCACTCTGAGTTGTGGTCCTAATAGAAACTGCTATTAATTTGCTAATGAACATGAAGACAATGCACATTTAAGGGGCAGACATTTGGGGGGAAAAAAATAATATTTGTCGGTCTGTGTTTCATGAACTGGCACTGATAAGGAGTGGTGTAACAGCTCAGCACTGGCCAGACTGTGACTTGTTCAGCTCACCATGCTTCTCACTAGATGCATGCTGGGAAAGCGTGGTTTCAGTGAGTAGAAAGTGACACATAGGCTGTGTACCAAATCACCCACTGCACCCTATGTAGTGAGTACAGTTTGCTATTTTGTAGTGCTGTCTGAATGTTACACCTGTTACACCCTATAAAGTGCACTCAAAATATCCCACAATGTACCATGAAAAGTAGTGTACAGTCGATGGTCACTAACCAGCAATATGGACTATCATGCGTTGCGCGAAAGGAAATGCAAACTAGATAAAAAAACTTGTCATTAAAATGTAAATAATTTCACGTTTATTTTTTGTTAAAGTTTATTTGACCTGTTTCTTAGCGATGCAATAAACTGTGAATTTGAAGTTTGCACAACGTTGCTACGGCACAAATCACAGCTAGCAAGCAATTAATAGCTTGAGTAGTGTCCGAAATGGTACTTTGCCAAGGTGGTACCTTCATAGTTCACTATGTAGTGGTCCCTGTATAGTGAGTAGGGAGTGAGTAGATGATTTTGGACCCAGCCATATTGCAGTAATTTCTCTCAGATGAGCATCTCTCTTGCATCATTAAAATATATGCATCAATAAAATATCTTACATCATTAAAACCTGATGGGATTTTGACACATCGTGACCCTTCACACCCACATAGTTTAGAACTTCACTGATTCTGTGTCTTCTCTTGTTCTGCATATTATTTAACTGTGTCATATTAAGAAAGAGACGCATGACTGTTGGTACAAATGCAGCAAAACTCCAATTACCTTCATGAGAATTATTCATTCTGGGGCAGCAAATACACATTTTATAGCCTTCTTGATAGCATCTTGTTTAATAAGGGAAGAGAGAAGTGTTTGTGTCTGAAGGAGAGCCTGCTTTGACTGTAGAGAACAGAGCAGGAAATATGTGACCTCTGTTGAAGTGACATATTTCTGCCTGTTGTTTTCCATCTTTGTCGGTAACAGCAGTCCAAAAGACAGGCTTGTCGTGATTTGCTTTTGTATTGCAAAAGCTTGCTTTAGTCTTCTTCTCCATCTTTCTGGTTAGCAGTAAATCCCACAATCTGCAGTTTATTTTTTAACCGCTCACTCCGGTGGGATTCATGTTGGGTCCAGTGGGACCAGTGGGACTTGTGGGATCATAATCCCAATGCAGTCCTTTATCACAAGTTTAAAGGTGAAAAATGCTGGTGGTAGAGTTAGATAGAGGTGGCCTCTCCAGACTTCTATGGGCTGCTGCTCATCTCTACTTAAAGGTGAGAATCAATTTTTATTGTGTTTTGTGGTTGTTATAAACTTGAAGGTGTAGGGGAGAAGCTGTTAATATATAAAGATGTTTGCTTCTGCCATTCTGAAAGCCCCCCACAGCTAGATAGCCTCCAGCTTTACAAGCCACAAAGAATTTCACTGAGCTGCTATGATCCAGCTGAGATACTAATAGTTGTCTAGCTATAACTTTTTCTGTTTCGGTTGTCAGACAACAGAATGGGACTAAGACAACTGATCGCTAAGAAAGACTGATTGAAGTGATGGGAAGTCCTCGTTTTGCATATGCATTCATATTTGTGTCAGCTGCCAGGCAGTCAACTACTCAGTCCTGTCAATCAGAGGTACAGAGAGAGTCTTCTTCCTGAAGCGGGTGAGGACAACAGCAGCTCAGCTGCATTTACAGCTACAGATACTAAAAGAGCCGGCTTAAGATAAGACTAAGACCAGGATTTACACAGTCATGGTGAAATGAGACATCTTTGCAGTATTTTGAGCTGAAAAATTGAAAGAAACGTTTCAGGGACATGTAAGACTGTAATTAATTTCCTGTAAAGAAGAAACAAAATGGAACCTTTAAGACTTGTAGCTTAAGAATATGTTAAATCTTTTTGGTAGTTACAGTCACTGTTGGAACTATTAGTGAAGTTGTATTGTAAGTGATGAAAGTCCTAGATTTTGACAAGCGTGCATGGAATAAAAAACACCTCTGGCTCTTGTACTACTTCATGGATTGTAATACTTTTTTTTAAAGCTATTCATTGTAAGCCGAACACTGTTGAAGGTATGAAACGCTCAGGATATAATACTCTTTTAAAGCACCAATGTTTGGGATTACAGGGGGATCTATTTGGAGAAATGGGATGTAGTAATCAGAATTGTTTTTTTTTAGTGTATAATCACCTGTAGCTATGAAGTGGTGTGTTTTTGTTAGCTTAGAATGAGTCCTTCACATCCACACGGGGGTGAGGTTGTCTTCTATGTAGCTCACCACCTCATGTCATGTTTCTACAAAAGCACAGAAAAGGACAAACCAAACCCTGGCTCGAGAGGGCCTTTTCTGTTTTATATTGAAGTGGCAGCCACCGTAGGTTGTCCCTCACACTTGAAAAGGAAAAGGAGGTTGAAGCATGGGGGTTTCAGTTGATTGCAATCTGCGAACTCCCCGCTACATGCCACCAAGTTCTACACACTGGTCCCTTAAACATGTTTATTAGGCTTCACGGACAGAAATGACACCTTTCTGAGAAAACGTGACACTACTTTGGTTATAAAAAAAACTTCTCAATTCATTCCAGTTTTCTAAACACTGCTTTTGGATAAACATAAAAAAACACAAATCTATGGTTGTATTTCCCCTCAGGTCCTCCATCAGCTCCAGAGAACCCCATCTCGACAGTGAACGAAACCTGCGTCACCTTGGAGTGGTCGCCGCCCAGAGACACGGGAGGCAGAGGCGACATCACCTACAGCCTCCACTGCAGGAAGTGCTTCGGCGATGGCAAGAAGTGCACACCATGTGGGAGCAGCGTCCACTTTGTCCCCAGACAGATCGGCCTCTCGTCGGCCACCGTGTTGGTCACCGACCTGCAGCCGGACTCCAACTACAGCTTCACCATTGAGAGCCAGAATGGAGTGTCTGACTTGAGTCCAACACCGAGAGGAACGGTCGTCATAAATGTGACAACATCACAGACAGGTGAGAAAATACACACACACTGGGAATAATGCCACTCCTATAAAACATCCAACTCCTACAGTTAAGACTAGGAATGTCGAAACACTCATATTTGTTGACTCAGACAGCTCTTTCACTGAATACTTTTTTGTGTGGCAGGGTTTTCTAGGATTTAAATTGCTGCAGCAACTTTAGAAGAAAGGATTTTGCAGGATTTTATCCACTTTTAAAGGCTGATAAGAAAATGAAATCCTCCGGGGAAGAACATAGTCATCAGCGTGAACTAGAAATTTGTTCGAATACTGATTGCAGTGTAACTCGCAAACGGTATCGAGAACTTTAACGTCACCTGCTGTGATGCACCCCTCTGATACCAAAGAATGACACCTCTGCACCGCTGCCTGCACATGTATAATCACATGTGCGTCAGTGTGGGACTGTGGGGGAAACTTGTGTAAGGATTATGTGTATGACAGAGCGGTGATGACTAATAGGCCACATACGACGGATGTGTGTGCGATAACTGGAGGGGGGTGAAGAGGTTGTTAACCTCACCGAGAGGCACACACGCTGCTCTCACTTGTAGTATTAAACGCACACACATTTATTCACACACTTTCAAGCCACAAGGTTTTGGGTTTGCACGTTAGTAACACGAGCAGATCACACAGCGCGCACATGCGTCACACATCGCAGAATGCTGTATTCACACATGTACAGTATATTACACCTTGTGAGCTGTTTCATTAGCAAAATCACTTGACACACACGTTGCAATATGGGTTTTCTCGTTGTAGCACTTTAGGTATTAATATCACCACATCCTGCTCTCTCTATCTCCTCTGCTTTTTTCCCCCCATCTAGTTGAACTTTCTTTTGCGCTCACGCTTTCTCATCTCGTTTTTTTTGTGTTTGTGTTACAGTGAGCGTTGTGTTGAAGGAAAGGCGGAGCAAGGACAGTGTGACTTTGGCCTGGCAGGGACCGGAGAGACCCAATGGAGCGATAGTGGAGTATGAGGTCATCTACTATGAGAAGGTGAGAGAGAGACAAACAGACACTCATTTTTAAATAGGACTCCACCAATCCAACACACAAAGATCAAGTTACTTGTGAATTTAATTTTAAACAACAAGCCGGCATTTTTAACAAGCAGGACTCTACATTATAGGAAGTGCAGCCTCGAGCATTTTTACAGTTGGACACAAACAAAATGAAAAGTATGAATCTGCTGCTTGGGATTTTTTTATTTAGTCTGTCAGATGTGAATCCCTTAGTCTTGAAGGAACAGTGTGGGTGGGTTTAAAACGCATGCTGTCTTTAACCCTATTCAGGACTTTGGGGGTCTTTTGGACCCCAGGCCATTTGGTTTATGTGATAGGTATTGTTTTTGAATTTTTTAAGATTTTTTTTTTAATATAAAAAAAGGGACATTTATCATGCATTTGAAAACATACGTCAACTTATCAGAAAATTTATTTAACATGGTATAAAAGATTAGAATGAAAACCAACAAATATTTTGCATATATTCTTTCTTGGGGTCCGATGGAACCCATAAGACCTTCTACGTCTGGCAAAGTCCATTTAATGGTCCTTGAACTCATCACTGCTTTCAGTTTTCCCAGGAAAGCTTAAAACTGATATTTCAACGGAATTCTACGTCTCTAGAAATTTGCCAAAAATAAACCATGTGGCGTAAACAGATTCTGGGATATACAAAAAAAAACTTCTCCACTGCTCGGTGCAAACAGTCTGCTGTGACCGACAGTCAAAAATTAAGGGGCTATTTGGCTGAACTACAGGTTGTGTTTACACAGAGCAGATAGGAGAAGTATAAATATCAGTACTAAAATATCTCTCGTATGTCAAGTCACTATTTTTTCCCCAATGCTGGATCTTGAAAAAAAAAAGTTGTACATACTGATTCTAGGATCTTTCAATTTTTGTAATTTTTAAAGAAATTCCACTTTTCTTTATTATGATTCATGGCATCATAACTGTGTTATACTACACCAGCGTCGTGCTTGAGTTCCCTCTTCGTCTAGCAGTAGTTGTGCTGTTTCCATTAAGGTGCAGGATTTTATATTGCACGGAAAAATGAGCCCACAATGAGAAAAAAAAATGTGACAGGAGCACAACACGCCCAGAAAGTGCTTGGGGTTCAGAGGGTTTGCTCACAGTTCAAGGTGCTGACAGGTGGATTTGGTTATACTGGACAGAGCTGTTGGCAGTAGCTTCGTATTTATCAAACAGATATGAAAAGTGATGTAAGTTTTCTTAGCGTATCTTCGAAAACGTCAAACTATTCCTTCAAAAAAAAGAATCACTGGAGTACACTTTCAACGCAACGTGTTTCTTCCCTTCTCCTCCTCTCGCATGCCGTCTATGTTGGTGGGGGTATGGGTTTAGCCTTTGGGCATGTCTGTAATGACTTGTTCATCACAAACATCTCTCTCTGCTTCTTTCAGCCCCTCTGTCTTTCTGTTTCCACCGCCTTATCCCTCCCGTCTCCTCTCCTGCACACACCAAGCTAATTAGCCACACATCTGTCGAACAAACCTTGTAAAACACGACAGAGGTGATGAAACTCAGCCCCTGTGTGTGTGTGTGTGTGTGTGTGTGTGTGAGGCTGTCTGAGCATGTGTGTTGGCAAGCATTAACTGTAAAATAGTGTTAATCCGTGTTGTAGAGTGTCTTCCATTAGGTAGAGTATCAGCCTCTCAGCAGGGAATCAGCTTACTGACAGACACACTTATTCTTTATTCATCCTCCTACAGAGACACACACACACACACATCTAAGTGTGCACACACACCTTGAAGGTAGTGGAGGAGCGAAGTGAAGCGGGACTAGTAACCACATATTGCCCCAGAGTGTAGAGAGGATAAGATTTAGGACCTGACAGATGCTCATGTATAAACGCGACCAAATGGTCCAGTGATGAACAAATGAAAACTTAGTGAGGTGTATTTGGCCCCTGGAGACATTTAAATTCAGCAATTTGAGGTTTCTATTATTTCCAGACTTTTCCTATTCTTCTTCTGCCTCTCTCGATGCCACAGCTCGTTGCTCTACAAGAAACTCTTATAGGATTTTCACATTTTCAACCTCTTTTTATCCACAATCATTTCATTTCTCAGACACTAAGTATTATCCACTGGGCTTAGTATTTGATTTTCTCTCTTTCTTTTTTTTTCCCCTCCCCTTTCCACTCCAGAACCAGCGGGAACAGAACTACACGGTTCTGAAGACTCGCTCCAACATGATGACAGTGGACGGGCTGAAGCCAGGGACCACCTACGTGTTCAGGGTCAGGGCTCGAACCGACGGCGGCTACGGGAGCTACGGCGGGGAGATCGAACTGGAGACCAGCCACGAAGGTAAAGGGAAAAACAAAAAAACTATTTGTTTACTCGTAATGAAGCAATAATTTAAGTTTACATTTGTTTGTTTGTTTGTTTTTTGCCTCGCTCTATGCAATTGGTTTGTTAGTTTTTGATTTATTTTCCTCTGTTTCAAATTTCCCTGTGGTTTTCAGCTAAAAAATGGAAATAGCAGGCAGCAGCATGCCAGTTCTTTTGAGGCTTTTCACAGTGTTAACACAAGAAATCCAAACTAAAAGTGCAACTGAAGAAGAAGGACAAAGGTTAGCTCCACAGCATAATGTACTGCCACATTATATCAAAGGTAGTGAAAAGTGGATTTGTCCTTCGTAGAGTTGAAATCAATGAATCCAACGGGTGGTTATAAAATAGCCTTTGGCTGCCTCACAGGTTGTCATCTGTGCATCCGAACCAGTGTGTTTGAAAGTTTCCCAGAATGCTTAGCAGGTAGAAGGAAGGGAAAAGAATGCCTGGCTGGATTGGAGATGTTGATTCACACAGACCGCTGGAGCAAAATCGTGAGGGTGGAAGAAGTTTGTACCAGGCAAAGTGATCATAACAAGCACAATTTAATAGACAGGGAATAAAAACTGGCATCCTCAGGTATTTTGTGGCCATTCTGTGAATTAATTTAATCCCCTGTAGTTTTGAGTGTTTTTTTGTTTTTTTTTTTTATTTGCTCCTGTCACATTTTTATTCACTATGGACTAATTTATTACTGCAGTATAAAGTCCTGCACCTCTATGGAAAGAGGCTAGAAGTAGAGAGGAGTCAGAAATGTCTCAGTGTTACAAAGTTAGAATGCTGTAAATTATTTTAGAAAAAGAAAAGAATAGCTAACATTGACTATTCATTTTACAGAGAATCTGAGAAAACTGTAATCGACATGTACAATATTGTTCCAGGTTCCCCAGGTACATGCCATGGATCTTTAACTAATTCCATTTTTAATTTGTTCTCATCCTTGTTTCTGATCTTTAATCCAAGGGCAGTGCAACCAGGCCTCACAAACAGCTCTGTGTTCAATCTGTGTTCAATCTCTGTCGTGATGTTTCCAAGCTCCCTGTCACTGGTCCATTTCTTCTTTGTTTGCTGTCATCCACTTTCATTATCACTTCATTATGCGCTCGAGGATTTTCTGCTTTAGAGGTCCCATAATGTGCTCTTCAAAGTGATCATTGATTGCTAGTCGGGCAGGCAGAGGGGGATAAATCAGTAAATGTATAGCACTGCACCATAGATTGCCTGTGTAGCACACAAAAGGCACACATTAGCCTACAAATCATTCAATAGTCAATAAAAGTGACTCAAAGACTCCATTTCTGTCCTGCGACAAATATCTAGATTTAGACTGTGAAAGGTCACGTCTGTGCCTTAAGCTTCCCAAGATGCAGCGCAGGTTTTTACTGAGCTGTTACTGAGCCTTCAAACAACAGGTTCACAGTCAAGTTCACAGTTGTAAAGAACAGGATCTGTGAGATGCAGCTGACCCCGTAGCAATCATATCAAGGTTATCTAATCAGATCAATGGCATCGATTGTTAAATAAAGGTGTGTATGTGTGCACCACTAAATGTAATAGGAGATCAATCCTTATCTGCACTTGCCTTGAGGCATTAATTTGCCTCTCCAACACACACACACACACACACTCATATATACAGTACATACACTCACAGACACACGTGTCCGCTCATGCTTAGCTAAGCCAGATAAATGGGGTATTTGTTTTGAGTAATGGCTCGATTGGTGTGGCGTAAAAATCGATGCATCTTTGCAGAAAGTTCTTGGCGGTAGCCTTGTTATGTGCGATGTTAACATATCCATTTGGACAGCGTAGCTGAATGGGAATGGCTTTCACGTCCACTCTCATACCCTCATAGGCGATGCAGAAAGGGAGAGCGCTTTTCATCAAGGACCTTACTTACTATTCCATCCACCTCCCTTTCTCTCTTTTACTCGTTTGCCGCTCTCCCTTTTTGCTTCCCCTTCAAGCCTCTGTCTTTTATCTGCTGTTCTATTGATATCATATTTCATTCTCTCTCCAGCTTTCCCTCGCCACACTCACCGTCTTACTTGCTGTCTTACTTGCTCAACTCCCAGCCTTTGTTAGTTTTATCACTTTTTCTCCTTCAGAAAACACCTCCGACTACATCCCACCCTCCTTTATGCTTGCTTTAATAATCCACTCTCTTCACGTCCTCTTCTTTGTAGATGTTCTGGCCATTGGGGACCCTAACCAGTCCACCATTCTGGCTGTGTCCATCGCTGGGGGAATCGTTCTCCTCATCTTCCTGGTGACTTGCTTCGTTGTCAGCGGAAGGTAGGGTCTGCATACAATAAGTGACTGGCAATCACCCTTATCTAGGTCTTCTTGTCAAGATAGTAAAATGATGGAAAAGTGGAAGCCTGGCAATATGTAGGCTCAAATCCCATGAAAACACCAAAATCTAGAAATGAAATGATCCTATCAAGTAATTCCTGTAAAACCAACGCCTGGTGCATGTTAGCCTTCCTCTGTGCCAAAGCTCTCAAGTGTTGTCGAAAAACTACGAGACCACGATTCACACTGTTGCTCTGGGTGATATGTGCTTTTGTTACTGTGGGCACTCCACTTTAATTGAAGTCAGTTTCACACTCTGCTGCTCACGAACGCACCACATCCGCAGTTGAAAATAGTTCCCCAACAAATGCACAATGCTTTATTTATACCACCATTCATGGACTGATTACACTATTTCCTCCATTTGTAGTAACATTTGTTAAAAGAGCAGCTGTTTTAGAGGATTATTTGGTATTTTCCAAAATAAAACTATTGATTTATGTCTACAATGGGAACCACTGGGCTTGGAGAAATCTGGGAATAAAGATGGACTAATGCAACATGAATATAAAAAATCTCCAACCTCGTCCTTTAAACTGACACACAAACCTGACACAGTTATGAGATTTTCATCCAACGTGGCTCACTTTCTCATAAACCTACTGACAGCTGTATTCTCAGCAGTTGCACATTATAGGATCACCAACAAAAAAAAACACTGAAGTTGAAACCAACTAAGCATCGAGTGCGACATCGAACGTAGCACTGCTGCAAATAATCACGTGTGGAGCGGCAATCTGACAACGTACGCACGCATTTGTGTACGCGAAAGCCGGCCTCTTCATATCTCTCTTCGAGGGATTACATGCGGGTGTTGCCAAAGCTGGCGGCCTCCAACTTTGACATTTACACGGCTGACAAAGTCGAACTAAAGGCTGCGTTATTCTGTATGTGAAGAGCATGGACTCTCTATGATCACCGTCTTTGAAGGTTAGACTGCTGTTAATGCTCCGTCTCAAAGAGGGCCAAAGAGGGGAGGGAGATGAGAGGCAGGAAGGGAAAATAAAAGAATGCCGATTGGTGAGAGGCCAGAAGATGAAAGGATTGAAGTTAAGGGGTGGCTTTTTTGGAGGAGAGAAAATGGGAGAGGGGAGGCGGGATGACAGGCGTCTGTGATTTACCGTACCTATAACCAAATGTTTATCCTCTATGAGTTCCAACTAGATTAGCCACATTTTAAGAACTACACACACAACCACATGCATGCAAACATGCACGCACTAATGTACGCTCACTGAAAACATTAGTATTGATTCAGGTGATTGCTTATCAGGCTGAGTGCTCTATTCACTATTGACTAGGAGGGATGTAATCAGCAGAGACTGTCCTGTGTAGCGCACCGACACGCATGCGGCGCTCTCGGCAACACGAACGCATCAACATTTTTTTAATCAGAGTGGGATTATGGGCTTGTCCGTCTAGGGGAAAAAAAAAACACACCAACCTGTTAAACATTTTGCGCTATGAACACACGCGGTGACACAAACACACACTCGTCTAATCAGGTTTCACAGGCCGGGGAGGTGTTAACTAGGTTTTACTGAGGGGGTCGATGCACTACCATCAATTTCAGGTCTCCCTCTCTTCCTCTTTCACCCTCTCCGTATCCGTCGTTCTTCCATTTAGAGGTGTGGACGCTCGGGAGGAAGCAGTGTTGATTACTGCTTTCTATTAAACCACATCTGTCAAAATGAGTGTGTGTGTGCATGGGTTCAGAGGCGGAGTGTGTTGGTGACTAAGGGAAGGAAGCGAGGATCAAAGCTGCATCACTAGAGGGGCATCAGCGGGGGGGAAGAGGGAGAAAGATGGACAGAAGCGAGGTAAAGGAGAGACACAAGTGGAGAATAAACATATCAGATAGGCAGTAGGAATGACAGACTGCAGCAGAGAGGGAGGGGGAGGAAGTACATCTGAAGTATGTTTGCGCCACTAGAGAGCTACATTTTCAGATGGTGTGAAAGATAGAGAGAAAGAGGAGGAGGCTTGAGCGAGATGGAGAGAAAAGTAGATTGATGGAGGGAGAGGAGGAGAGCCGGGGGGAGAGGTGAGAAGATGAAAAGGTAGATTACAAATGAAAGAGGAGGGAGGGGGAGGGGAGATGATGGGTGGGCGATTGCAGTGTTAGGTGCAATAGAACGGAGAGGGCTTTTTTTTTTTTTTGAGGAATTGGGAGAAAATCTAAGAAAAATCTTGGGTTGTCCATCCCTCTTTTCTTTTTTTTATCTGCTCCGTCTTATCTGTCAATCAGTCAAATTCCCGTTCACCCGCTGCTCTCATTTCACTCTCTTGTGCTTCTGCTTTTCTCTTCATTTAGCTTGTTTCTTGGCTCTGCAGCTTTCATTTCCTGTTCTGTTCTTGAAATTTACATTTGGATAACCCCCCCAACCCCCCCTTTACCCCTCATGTATCAGGAATCTGATGTATTTGCTGAAACCAGTTCACTGTGGACGATGATTAGAGTCAGCCAGGTTTTAATTGATTCTCCGCCAGACATTTGTAAGGCCCCTTTTCTCCCTACATGCCAGCTGTTAAAATAATTTCCCCAATAATGGCTAAGAAAGCGCTCAGGGTTTTGTTCCTGTTTTACACCTAGTTCGCCCATTGAATCCACCAATCCCCAGCAGCCTGACGGAAGGCTCCTGCCACTCGTTGCCTCATATACCTACACAGGTACGCACACACTCCCCGCAGCACTGGCTGGCATCGTACTCAACAGCTATGGCTCATAAACGGCCTGATTTGCAGGCTATTCTGTTCTGTCCTGTTCCCGTTTAATAAAGTGCTGTTATGCTATTGTTACCGCAGGAGGGAAAACATGAAAAAACATCGAAAGCTCCTCAGACACAGCACGGCGCTGACAAATCACACCAGTTATTGCTGCGTGCGTGCCATTATTGCTCGGCGAGTATACGCACGCAAGTGTGTGTGTGTGTGTGTGTTTGTGTGTGAAGTTGCTGCTTTTGTCCTCCTGAGGGTGCTTTGGCAGGCTGGCAGGTGCAAACGATGGGAAGCTAGCGAGCGACTGGCATAGCCATGGATTCAGCAGATGGCCTTTCACTCAAAAAGCGCTCTTCCCTTCGGTCCTCACTTTCTCTCACTCCTTGTTAAACATGTTACAGCTTCTGCCTCCCAGCATCGGCGCTGGTGTGTGCGTGTTTGTGCCTCTGTTTTGTCTGCACTCTAATGATTCTCCAGCCTTAAAACCATCTCCCTCTTTCTGAATAGCTGCAGGCTTTGGCTACGCGCCAGATTCCTGTGTGTTTTTCTGTGTTCGTGTTTTTTAATGTGGGAGTTTTTTTTTTTGGTGAGAAGTCGGCGTGAAGTTGTTCCATCCATGTCATGCCTGTTTTTTAAGCTGTTTCATCTGCTATGCATCTCAGAGTGTGCCTTTATGAAGTGCATCTGTTCTCAGAGCTGCTGATATTCAGCAGGGCGTCGTTTTCTTCAATCTGTTGAAGAAAATGTCTAAATATCTGTAACAAAACGTGCTCTTAGTTCAAAATAAGGTGTGTAGCCAAAGTGTGGCTCAATCTATCAAAAACGGTGTTGTTTTTTATTAATATGCTGCACATTTTAAAAAGTTATCCATATTTGAGAGAGAGAACAAAAAAGCCTTTTCGAGCAGAGCATTGAGAAATAAAAGACAAAAGGCGAAGAGAGAAAAATGCAAATTAAACGATGCTGATACCAGCAGAAAGACTTCTCATTCTCACTAATAGAAAGCGGTAACAGCTCTACCTTCTTCACACAATAGCATGTCCTGTTGATGTGCGCGTAAGCTCTTTTACCTCCGCAACATCTGTTGTGCAGCCCAGGGTTATTCTTAAAAACTTAATGACACAAAAGAGGAGAGGAAGGATGAAAAAAAAAACAAAAAGAGAAGGGAAGCGTGTGCTAATGAAAACACGCTGCTGAGAGAAGAGAGAGCAGGGTGAAGAGGCAGCGAGAGACTGCTGAAGAACTACAACTCTAATTGAGTGTAAAGCAGCTCAAAAAAGCGTGTGTAGGTGTGTGCTTGTTTGTATTTCAAAGACAATGTGAGAAATTGAAATGGAAAACAGCAACAATTGGAAAGAAAAAAAAAAAAAAGAGGGGGGCGAGGTTTGTTTTAGTTTCAATTTGAGGGGGGGGGGGGAAATCCTAAGGAAATGGAAAAACAAAGAACAAAAGGCGCAAGCAATAGACTCATGATTGCCGAATTGGTGAATTTGGTGGAGGTAGAAATCAGCCAGCGCATTCTCTTCCCTGTGGGTGGTGTTGGTCTGTTTGCTTGATAATAGCGCTAATAATGATTTGGCAGCCGAAAGACTCGGCGTACTGAACCCGAAAACAAAACCGTGTGCGGAGGTGTGTGTGTATTTGATGATGATGATGATGATGATGATGATGTGTGTGTGTGTAGTGTCATTAGACAGATTTGTATGTGCTGGTTGGATGCCGGTGCTTTCAATTAATGCAGCTAAGCTGTAGGGTGTAGCCAAATACAGCTTTGTCTGCAGAAAGCCTAGAAAGTAGATTACAAACAGTGCAATAATAGCAGCTCGTTGCCGCAGGTGTGAAAGTGTCTCACACAGGCTCTATGCAAATGAGCAGATGTTGCTGTGGGATTTATCAAATGTCCTACAAACATCACACAAATTGAAAAAAAAAACCAAACTGTTTTTGTCCAAGGTTTTGAAGTTCATGAACACATTTGTCGGATGCACTTGCACAAGCGCCACGCGTTACGATCCTGACCTAATCAAGTTATGTCGGTGTAGTAACATCATTAGGGAAATTAGTTTCACACTGATCTACACACACCGATCTGTTGGCAAATATAAAGACACACTTCACTTAATGATACAGATGACACGCTCCTCTCTCCCTCTTGCCATCTTTTCGCGTTTGACCTTTCACCAGGTTGTACATTACGCCAATTACCACGGTGCAGCTCCCAA